CTTTTCTGCTATCTTTCTTGACATTACACAACTAATCGCCAGTTCAACCCTTGAGATTGAATTGGGGGTGGGAGGAAGTTATCCAAATTTAGCACTGTCCGCTGGTTGTATACGATAGGAATTCAGGTACTGCTTTTAATAAATCTTTCTAATCTTTCTTGAAAATTTTAATTTTAACTTAATTGTTGGCCCATTCTTTGCTCAGAATCAGATGGTTCATGGCTCATGAATAGTATGGCTTCTCATAGATTAAATATTATATAAGTTTATTTTATTTTTCTTATGCTATGGTGAATCATCATGACATTGACTTGGGATGAAGCTTATCTAAGCTACTTTTACCTATAGGCTTAGCTATAAACATGTTCTTTGATGCCAAGCTCAATCTCCCCATCACATCAGTGTATCTTTGGCTTTTACTAATCCGGAAATTGTTTTCATGGACTGCTGAGTTTACAAATCCAGTTAACTGGCTTATCGTGAGATTGTAAAATAATGTGAAAGAATAGGTTGAAGTCATCACATAACATCTTGGGCATGCGAGTTATGAGAAGGCAATCTGTTGGTCAACAACTCTGTCGGAATTTTCTTGGTTGAATTTTAGAAACAATTTAACGTTGAAAATGAGTATGGCTAATCATATTCATATTGCTTACCCTTGCAAGAAACTATTTTCTATATATTTTTATTACTTTAACATTAATATGATTCTCACTTACAGTCGTCCCAGAAAACAGCTATCTTACAATAAAATGTTCCTCTTATTATAATCTTTTGCTAACAAGTAGTAATTTAAAAGTAAATGTTATTTAGATTTCTAAAACGTCTATTAATGAAGTGAAGTCTGAAAAGGATCTGACATTACTATTTGATTGAAGTCTCCTACAAATAAGGTTTTTTTGATAGATTTTTGCATCTCCATTAAGTTTATTTGTAAGCTCATTGGGGGATTCTAGATTATTTAATTTAATGACTAATATGGAAATAATTCAATTACATTTTTGATGTTGCTTACTGTAGTGGAGGAGAATAGGATTTATGATTAATTCTGGGAAGAAACGTGTGTTGACTATCACCTGTAGTTTGTTCTAGTCATTGTTAAGATGAGTTTCTTTGTTTTTATTTGCTGTAATATTACAGAACCTTTGTGCTTGTGCTGTACATTCCTCTCAAGATGTTGCCTTTTTTTTTTCCCCCTGGGTTTTGTTTTTTTAACTTTATGCCTTTTAAACCTTTTCAGGGTATTATTTGGAAATTTGAGCTGCATCGTGGTGGCCAAAAGTTAATTATCCCTGTAAGCACAATCTTGGTTCTTTTCCTATTTTACCTAACAGATAAAATGGCATTAGTTGCTTGTGCCTTCTACTTTTAGACAAAACTTTAGCTATAAAGTTATTTTCTATAAAGCACAGATACAGAATACGATATGGGTGTGATATGGATATGGGATGCTGCGTTTTCTTGCGAAAACAAGATACAGCAAAACTGGGATGCACTAAAACTTGTTAGCACAGTTTTTCATATTTAGAAAAATATTCTATTACAGTCAAAATCATGGACAATGTGGCACTGGCAAGTAGCAAGATGGACACTCTAATTGCCTTATGTTGCAACAAGCCACATTGCTGGTGTAACTTTCTAAAAAGGTACAAAATGAATGGATGGTGGATTGTTCTCTAGCAAAATATTAAACATAAATTGGAGTCTTCATTGGTTGTCTCCAAAGAAATTGGCATGAAGACTAACATTTGAAAGACAGAAGAGGCAATGGAGGTGTTCAAGCCTCACTCCTTGAGACCTCCATTGATGGTGAGGCTCTGGGCAGATTCAACCTTCACAGGCTTCGTTCTTATAGCAATGGAAGCAGCAAAAGCATGATGGAAACAAAAGACGAAGCAAGATTTTGTCTTGCTGAATCCCTTAAGGGTATTCTTTCTATGTGAAAATTTGGTTCAACCGAAAATGGCATACTTTAATGGCAAGAAAAATGTGTATTTTGTTCAATATCTGTATCTAACCATATCTAGCCAAGGGCCCACCCAGATGTTAATGTATCTGTGCTATTTGAAAAAATGATTTGGATATACCTAGAATGCATATCCCCGTGTATTCAGCACTGGTACTTGCACATACGGGTTCTTCTCAGTTTTTTTTTTTTCGAGAACAGACATCTCCGATAAAAATGACAGATTTTATTTTTGTTTTGAGAGATTTTATGTAAATATTGAAGCAGTTGTAGTAGGCCTTAATCACCTGGTCATATTGTCATGTATCTCCTTTATTCTGCTTGTGCCTAAAAGTTCCACTCTTCCTATAGTTCCAGATTACTTTATTAATCGGTTCTTTAGTATTTAATTTGAGACAGAATGAACTTCCTAGCAAATGAAAAATCTGCTTATTCCGTTTTCTTTATATTTCGTTATTAACCCATTACCATTTACTAACAACTTGCTGCTTACAGATTTTGCTGACCAGACATTTGAACCCTGTCTTTGCGAGTGGGGCACTGATTATTCCAGCATCTCTCTACTTCCTTTTGAAGGTAGCTATTGATGATGAACTCCTTTAGCAATTTAAATATTCCTAGGTTCTATACTGGTTTATTTTTGTGAAGACCTATAAGTGTCTACATTCAGTTTATTGTTAGAACACCATTTATTAAGAAATCATGTTGTAGTAATCATGTATGCTTCACAAAAACGAGCAATTCTAACAAAAATTCAGTATCTTATTTTGGTTTTCCAGTTAAAGAACCCATTATTGTAAGCAAATATGACTATGTCTAAGTGGATTAACCAATGGCTAATGCATATTTTATGTCTTCACAAGATATAGGTGGATTAATTAATGGCTGGTGCGAATATGATGATGTTAATGCCTCTTTTCAGTACAATCGTATGTCATTTTTGTGCACAATTATTTTTCCTTATTAAGTATGAGTATACTTCTTTCCGTTTCATTTGGCTTATGTAATTAAGGTTTCAACCATATACATTCACGTTTTTGTGTGTATGATATCAGAGAACCTGATAATAGAACCCTAGGAAATTTTGTTGTTTTTGTTTCTTCCGTGTACATAGTGATTTCTCCTATACCCTGCTGCGCACGGAGGGCTTGGTTGAACTGGAAGAACTGAACTGATAGGAAATAAATAAAAAATAAATCTTTTTAACAACGCTTCACACTTTGGACCCCCTGTGGGTTAACTTCTGTAAGCTGAAGCAATAGCTGTAAACAAATAGCTCAGTTATTAGTTTTTACTCCAATATTTCTGATTCTGGAACAATCCAGGGAATAACAAACAAGACTAATTACTAATTTTTAGGTAATATGTTTCGCTGATGTATGATATGCGTGTCTGCAGAAATTTTTAATCAAACCCTATTACCTTAAAAGGAATAAGCAGAAGGCTCTAGAGAATGCAGAGAAAACTTCTTCTCAGGTATGGATGATTTATGCACCTAATGTGATGGCTTCTATTCTCATTGAATATTATTATTTCGTTCTGCTACTTTCCTTCATATGTTGAGAATCTTTGTCAACAACTGACCATTTTAACCCTGAAGCTTATATTGTTGAGGTTCAAGTTTTTCTCTCATTAAAATTTAAAAATCGTTTCCTCACACAAAAGCTTAGAGCATGGTTAAATCTTGGGGTGCGGAGGGGAAAGATAGAATTTTTGACCATAAAGATTCTGATACCATGCTAAGAACCTTTTCAACCTGAGGACTTGTGTTGTTCGTGGTGGGCCCTAGATTGATTATGTTAATATCCCTATCAGTCTTAAATGAAAGTTAATTTTCCCTGATAACTGGCAACTGCTAAACGCTTCCACTCTAATAATTCATGGATGATATCTGTACCTTTCAATGCATGGTAAAATTCATGCACATTACAGGGGAAAATATTAATTTAAGCTCCAGCCAGCTGATGGAAATGTCTTTGCAATGATCCCAAGATTATTTTATTTGTTAATCATTTTAGTTTAAACTTTTTTGGATCCTGGTTATTGCTTGGAGTCATGGATGGGTCTATTTTTCTTACAGTGTACTTGTTTGACCTTTTTGTGAACGTTCATGTATGGTATAAACTTTGAAGTGTTGCTGGGGTGTAGTGCCGCTTGCAGTTGGGTATATCACATACCCCAATATCTGAAATTTCTACATTGAATACCTGTGCTTGGTATGTCAGTGTCACATCGAAGCTTAGGAATGTAAGATGGGTGGGATTACTTTACCATGGGCATGCTACGCTTGTCACAAAACATATTTATCCAAGATACAGGGAATGCTATTGAATTACATTACTTTTAAGTCAATAACTTGATTGATTCGTTAAGAATTTATGTGCTGCCAGAAATATGTTCTCGAGAATGTTATTTAGTTTTAGCTGTCATGCCAAACACAAGGTCTTAAATTCCCACTTTCTCATGTTTACATGGACTTCAAAATATCTGGGAAGTTGTTCTTGGTCAACGATCACCAAACCTTGGGGTTTATGCCTCTGTGCTTGTGATTGTTGAAAAGTGCGATGCTGAATTGGTTTGAATCATGGAGGCTATGAAAAGTTTGTTTTCTTGGTGCATTTTGAACTTGTTAGTTGAAGCAATGTTTTTTAATTTTCTTTGGTTTGATATCACACATGTCGGAGACTGATACTTTCCTGTTAGCAATCTGAGAAATGGTGCATGCCTTGCATGGGTGCACCCGTGTTTCTGTCCTTTCCTATTTTCTGTTTCAATAAACATTGTAGCAAGCATAATGTCTGCAGGTTCAAGAAGGTAGGGCCGCAGCAGAGAAAGCTCAGCAATTACAACAAACTGTTGCTAATAGGAAAAAAAGTAAGCAATTAGAAACAGGCGGACTAGTTATTACCAGAGCGCTATATGGAAACCACGTTATCCTGAGCAAGATAAATGCATCAAGTGCATCAAGTCGTGAATCAGCTTCAGAAGTTATAGATGTTACAATACCTCTCAATTTCCTTGTTAGTGATTCTGGCCAACTCAAGGTATGTTTCTTTTATTTTGCCCTCTTCCTTGCCTTTTATTACTAACTATTGTAGAGATTTGTTGGTCATAAAATACACATTATTTACAATTTTGTTTTCCATTCTTCCTATTCATCCTCATGCATTATAAATTACAAGATGTGGGCCGTATCTTTGATAAGGCATGATGCATGAGAACTGACTTTTTGTGAAACAATGTGAAGACTACAGAGGAACTCGCATAGTGATATGTTTAGTTGAATTTATATGTTCAAAACGGGGCTCCAATTTTCGAGTTCCCGTAATACTCACTTGCATTCATTTGATTTTGATAGATTACATACATGTATCCCTGTTCGTTTAAATAACTCCAAAATCTAGGGCAAGTAATCCAAAGCGTCTGCTTTCTCTTAGCTCAGTGAAGCCATACTAACCTTTGGAAGGTATTTCAAGCCAGCAAGGATTTTGCATTAAGTGCATAATCTTACATGTATAACGCAGCCTGACAAAAGCTTTTATCCATGAGACCATAGCTAGCAGCGGGTTTCCAAGGATGGGCAAATAAATATTTTATTTTGTTCCATGCATGTAAGATTGCATGTTCATTCTGTACATAAATTTTGGAGAACGATATTTGGGCCTCTTACAATGGAATTTCGTGTTGAGCGCAACCCGCAGGTGGTTGCTTACTCATCATGCTAATGGTTAAGTGTAGATGTGGATTCTGTGAAGCTCAGACACTTGGAAATTAGTCATGTTTGGGTCTAACTCGTTGAAAATACTCATATTGGACAGTGATTTGACACTTCAGACCTTGACGGTTTAAATTTAATGCCTACGCACCTAATGTACCTGGAGACTGACAATTTGTATTCTTAAATAACATAATCTTCAGTATCCTTTTTTTTGGTTAAAATATGTTCAATTTCTTGATGCAGCTTCACGAAGGTGTAAAAAAATCAGGCATCATGGGCTTTTGTGATCCATGCCCAGGAGAACCTAAAAAGTTGTATGTAGAGTACTCTTACGCTGGCAACCAATACAAGGTATCAGCAGCTTACTTTTGTTGAAGGTTAAAATGTTGTGTGTGTGTAAACCACGCTAATAGAAAATTTGAAGCAGGTCCTGGTTGATGATTATGAAGAGTTATTGATCCCCCGCGGCGCCCACAGGATTTGAAGATCAACATGTGCATTATAACGTAATTTGCCTCTTGCAGTTTTCAATGGTTTACGTGCTTGAGGTTCTTCATCTTTCTCATACATTTGAGTAAAAGAGGTGCCTCTTCCATAATTTTTTGCCATCGGTTGTAAAATTAACTGAAACTCATTTGTAATTGATGTCTTGATTATGTCGTTCTTTTGTTCAAAAATAATAATGGACAGAAAAGTTGGAAGAGGAAAAGGCGTAAATATTGATTTGACTTCATAACTCAGGCAAAACTGGCTTTGCAATGCATTGATGAGGATGAAGGTGAGTGGCTGGCTCTTTCCTGGTTGGTTTTCTGTGGGAATTGATTGGAGGTCATGTAGAGTTGTACCATTTTGTCAGAACAGGGGAAGTTAAAATTATTGTAGTTGATGTAACCAAAAAAAGGGGGGGGTATTGTAGTTGGGAAACAAGGCTCTTTCTTGGTTAATTTTGGGGGTTCCGTAATTCAATGCTTTGCCAGAAGATATTATAGTAATCTAAGCTTATTTATTAAGGTTTAATCATGATTTACGAAATACAAGATAAGTATGTGAGAGAAATTGTCTTGTGAAACATATTTATAAGTGATTCTAAACGTGATTTCAAACAGAGACCTTTGAAAATGCTCACTGATAGACTGCATCAATAATCCCTTTTGGCTGACGGATTTGTTACGTCTATGCTGAAGAGTCAAGAACATTATGGGTGGTCTGAAGTTAATTAGTGGATAAATCATATTTAAATGCCGCTTTAGTAGGGCCCAAGGGCTCGAGAAGCATTCAAAGGACATTAAGAGGGTGATTTTGCCGAATCGGTTCCCGTCATAAATGATTCATTGGATTTGGACACTTATGAGTCTTATCTTTATTACAGTTATTTAATTTTTCAATTAACATTCATACTACCGAGCTAGGTTTAAGGTCAGCTGGAAAGAGGCTTTCTTAGTTTTTTTTTTTTAAAAAAATTTGCTTATAGGATTTGAATCTGTTAAGGGTTCTTTTGGTATGAGAGAAATGGGGGGAAGAAAAGGAGAAGAAAAATTTTAACAAGTTCAATTTTAAAAAATTGAAGAAGTTGGGTCAAAAGTTTTCAATTTTTATTATTATTTTAGTTTACATCTTTTTTTTAATTAAAATTTTAATACTCCGTTTTTTCAGTTTTTGAAATTGAGTTCATTAAAATTTTTCTCTTCTCCATTTTTCTCGCATCATACGGTGAAGGAAATCTAGTCCTTTTGAATGCTATTATAATACCTAGAATTGTGACTATCTTAATTTGCAGTATTTTTAATTTGTCGTAATTTTAATTTTTAACATTTGGCTTGAATTTTTTTCTTCCTAAACTGGGGATGCTATATTTATTTATTCCCTGTTTTATTCAAATTACACATCTATAACAATGATAAATTTAAAAATGTAAGATGTATTCAATAAATTTTGAGTGGAGACAAACTGAGAGAACTGCAAATTGACTGGATCCGAATTCTGATACCTACTGTCCATTAAGGTATGAATACTAGTTATATGAATGATAGGGTCCCATAAATTGATGAATACATTGAATTTTCATATTTCGTATGAAAGGATTCGAGTTGATGGCCAAAAAAAAAAAGAACAAAGGAAAGAATTCGAGTTTTTGTTGCATGGCTCTTATTCCAATTTTCACTTGGATAACGAATTTTTAGTTAAATTATGCCTTCTACTGCTTAGAATTGAAAAAAAATTTAAAAAAAAAAATCAAAAGAGGATTGAATGGAAAGAAAGGGACAAAAAATACTATCTCCACTCCTTAGTATAAGAGTCATTTTAACTTTCAATTTAGTCTTATATTTATCTTAATTTACTTTATCTCCAATATTTATTTATTTTGTTCTCAAATAATCCCTATAGTAGTTGGATATATCAAAGAGTTACTATCATTTTGTACTTCAAACACATATGATTAATAAGAGTATTTTAGGAAAGATAACATCCATTTACTACAAATAACTAATTTAACTAACTTAACTAATTTTTTAATTTTTTTTAAAATTAGTTAATTAGATTTTATATTAAAAGACTGAGGTAGTATGAGAATTCTTATTAAAAAAAAAAAAGGGGCAGCAGGCCGCAGATCAGGTCTTGGATTGAAAAAATAAAAAAAGGTAAAAAATTTATACATCCTTATCCGAAAGAATGAACTAATTATTAATCGATATGTTTTTCAAGAACCAGTCAGCACGAAAGGAACTTTGGACGAATTAGGGTACTTTCTATACCTAATCCTCGAAAATTATTGATCCTAAGTTGAAGCTTAGCTAAGCCAAACTCTGTTTACGAAAACTTTCTTCTGACTTTTCTAGCTGAAACATCATAGGTTGATGTCACTTCAACATTTTTGAAGTTTTTTGCCGTTTTATATTTTCCTACCAAAACGAAACGTCGTTAGAGACATTTTCCGGCATGTATGTGATGCGACAGAAGGCCAGAAGACCAACCATCCATTCATCACCAAAATGCTGAACGGGAATTTGAGTATCATTATCAACTTTGTTACAATTCACTAAATCATTACCAATTTCGAAAGAGAAATTCGTATATCATTATCAATATTATTGCAGCCACTGTCATTACAACTCATTAAGGTGACTTTTGAGGAGATTCTTGAAAGTAACATGCGAAAGAAGTTTCACATCAGATAAAATTAGTTTGAATATACACCTATACATGCATATATTTGTATACATATATGAAGACGCTTATAATCAACAAGGATTAAGTCTAGTAGAAAAAATTAGTCATTTACAATATAATAAACTAAGGTTTGAATCTCTATTATGAGAGACACTAGATAGTGTCTCGAACAGGCTTCCAATAAGAGAATTTGTGCTTGATTAAAAAGAAAAGAGGTGCCATTTTTTCAACTTTGTTTGGTTAAGACAAAATAGAGGGGAAGAAAGAAAAATTTGTCCCCCTTCCTCTAAAATGAAAGAGCAGGTATCATGGCCTCCAGAGAGTGCATTTGTTTCATTCTAATTTTATCGGATGTCCCCGAAAAGACCAAAAGGCTCCATTTGAATTTAATGGGAAGGCAGTAAAATTTGTGTCCAAATGTCAAGATGAAATTGTAAATGTTCAATTCAAAGTGTAGTTAAAACTTCGAAATAGATACAAATGTCACAACCTCTAACTTCTCAAAATGATCTAACATATATAACTCATAATTTCCTTAACCATCCAATGTTTAACTAAAATAAATATAGATGAAATTTCACAAACAAAGAAAATAAACATGATTTACAGACTGGAACTGACAAAGAAATGCGCCAAATACAAAACCACATTAGCTTTGTGCCTTAAAGATTCAATGAACAAAGACGAAAAGTCCAAGACTGAAATCAAGAAACGAAAGCGATGCACAAAGCTTTGGGAAATGAATATGATGATGAGGACGCACACCTGAGATGTCCAAAGAGTGACTGTGAATTTCTTGTTCAGAATGTTAAGGCTCAAATAAAATGGAATATTGTCTTGCTAAAGTGCCAAAACATCATCCGCATCTCACGACATCATCTCCTTTTTTTTTTTTCCCCCTTTCAATTAAACCTTTATATGTATGTGTATATATTAAATACAGGGAATTTTTTTAATTAGAAGTAATTCCATTTGAGATTAGACGCTAAACGAGAACACATTTCTTAACAGGAACTCGAATCTTAGTTCATCACGTTATAAAATATTAGTTTCCTTTGTTGGAACCAACCCTTGTTGATTCAATTAACTGTATATGTTTTCTTGGTAATATTAATATTAATTGCTTTGGAAAGATCCATTGAGCTAAGATGAAGCCTCTGAGTTAAGTTGAATCAAATCATGTTGCCGCAAAGCTACTTAAGTTGTAATTTTTTTCATACATGAGACTCATACTCGAAACATTATTTAAAAGAAATAAGTGATAACGCAGATATGTTTCACTGTAAAATTTAAACTACATACATTGTTTAGTTCCCATTTTACTACTATATTAATATAATTTTGAGCAGCTAAACCTCTCAAATTAATTATTTGAGAGATCAGAATGGGTTAGACAACTAGTCAGTCAAAGTGGCTGATTAACTAGCATATTGGTTGATTGGTTGAGAGATGGATTAAACTTGCCAAAAATCGAAATTGACAAATTTGTGTGAGAAAAATGTGACCTTGAAGTCTAACCTTTTTTGAGTAGGAATGAATAAATTTAAAAAAAATGACGTATCATGAAAAGTTCCTATCAATGAAATAAATTAGTTTCAAAAGAATAAGAAATGTCAAAATGCAAAGAACACATGCTAAAACTTTTGGCTTTAATTTAGTTTATCATTGAACACATCTCGTTTTCAATTTCTTTTGACATTTTTTATTGTTGCTTTAGATGGATAATTGTTAAAGTCCTAAAAATGTCGGTCGATATATTTAGTCATGTACCTAATATACAAAATGTACCATAAGTGCTAGTTTAAAATTCAATTTATTCTTAAATATAAGATTTTAATTTATCTTGTCTATCATATTTTTTTAAATAGTTATTATAGTAGTTACACACATTAAAGATTCGTGAAATAATAATTCTAACTAATACACATGAGGAGAAAGAATACTTTAGGAAGAAATTTTTATTGTTGCTTTAGATGGATAATGTTGAAGTCCTAAAAATGTTGGTTAGTATATTTAATCATGTACCTAATATATAAAATGTACTATAAAAGCTAGTTTGACATTCAATTGGTCATAAATGTAAGATCATATTTATCTTTTTTTTAAAAATAGTTATTATAGTAGTTATACATTTAAATGTTCGTCAAATAATGGTTATAATTAATACACATGATGAGAAAAGAAATTTTACGAAAGATAATATTTATTTGTTATAATAATTAACTTGATTAACTTTTTAAATCTATTTAAATTAGTTAATTAAATTTTATATTAAGAATATGTAAGAATGCGGGGTAATAATATCTAAGATTCGTTTGGAAGACCGAAAGATGAGTAAGATTTCAAAAGAGGCGTCGCATTTGATTGCCCAGCCGTCACCAATTAAAAGAGGGCCCCAAACTGCACTGCCATGACTCAACATGTCAATGCTTACTTTAGCTGTTTCATCCTCATCCCCTTTCACTGTCCTTACCCACGCTTTGGTAAATGCAAATATTTAACCAAAAGCTCTGGGAGTGAACTTTCATGTATAGTACTAGGGCTGCACAATGAACGGACTAGACCGGATCAAAACCCAACCCGAAGTCTAGTTTGTTTTTTGAGTTAGACTGGGTTTGATAGTCTGTGGTCTGGTCTAGTCCAGTGATGACCCGAGGTCGGGTTGGACTGGATTTGGTCTACCGGACTGATGGACTGGTCCAGGCAGTCCAGTTGTTCAATTTTCTTTTTTCTTTTTTAATTTTTTTCTTTATGAGAAATAAGATTTCAACATGATAAGTACAATTAAGACAATAAAAAATACCAATAATCATATGAAACTCGT